TATATATATTCAGTTGAGATTTTCAGTTTTTCTTAGCCACTATAACCACCCCATCAACATTTTTCAGTCATTTCGATCATCTTACGAAATCAATGTGTGAAAATAAATCAGAAAATTTTTCATGTAATTTTCTGAAACAAATTGCTGAAGAATAAATGCTGTCTGTAGAGGTATTCTTCAACTGTTTAGTTACTTTATCTCTTACAACAAAACTTCACATGTATATTTCCAAATCCACATGAATTCTTTTTTATCGTAATTACCTCGATAGACACCCCTCTTACTACATATTATGCTTTAGTGATTGAATTCATGAGTCGATCTAAGCTAAACTATCATAGAAAACCTGGAAGCATTGGACGGCTGTTTCGTCACAGTATGAGACTCCTCAGCCGTGTGCATTCGCGAACTTGAAACCAGGACCTTCGGTTTCACGCACGAACATCTAACTTCTAGACCATTGAGCCGGTACCCAACAGTGTTAATGTCTAACTTCAATCGATCTTGCGGAACCATTCATCGATTGTCAGAGGTGAACGTCTGTCTCTACCCGACACGGATTGGCCTCCACAAGTCACGGCTTCTCACCATTATACTGATTGTGACATGACGCTTCAAATCATTTTGACCTTTATTAAATGACCTTTTATAATTTACAGATAACACAATTTTGAAGTACATATTTCGTAACAGATGCAAACGTTCACCATTTTTAACATATAACATTGTCAAATTCGTTAATACATGCCTTACTTTGGTCTTTGTAAAATATCATAATTATGAACTTATAACTGTAGAGACTGATGATGATGTTACTGAAGACAATTGTTCGCCCAAATATTCTTCATTATATAATATAATGACATGTAAATGAAAGTAATCTTTTTCTTTCTTGGTGACGTTCCATGTTTAATCACATTTATATTCGGTAACTATTCTTTATTTGTATAAATTGTGAATGGACATTATTAATTGACTGATTGATACCTACGCTATCTTTGGTGTTCAAATAAATACTACCTGTGTCGTTTCCTCTTTTGTCTTATTGACCAAAACCTGTGATTGAGGACTATTAGTTTTGAACTATCATGTTAGGCCACTGTACACTACGTGAGATTATTGGCTTGAGCTACTTCGAAAACATTATTGGATTAATACTTCGATTTATACCGTTGGTGCCAAACTTTCAGGAACATATTAGTAATTGAGTGGACTCCATTTGTGGTCGTTACCCTAAAGGAACTTCCAAGTAACATTCATTATATAACTTTTGCTATTACTTTGTCAGTCAATATATCTTTATATATAAGTAATACCATGTATACAATCAACTAGAACATGTGGGGATTCGAATTTATTAAATTTTTATGCCATAATAAGTAAAGTATTAGACATAAAAACGTATTTCCAATCGCACACAGCGTCAAAGTGCATGAACACTAAAACTAAATGCAATAACATGTTTTGAGCATGTCAGAAGTGTTTATACTTTTCTTCTAAGTAAAGAAAAATATTTTCCAACCCTCATTCTTCATACTGCAAGAAATATAAAGTAAAATCTATTTCTTCTTGATTGTTTTTTTGCAACATCCACTAGGATGATTTGCGAGATACCACACAAAATTATGATATTTTGTTTGCTGTTTTTTCCAGATCTACGAAAAGAATGATTTATTATTCAACTAGGTGTTTTGTTAAGATTCGTTATCATTGGAAAGAGGTTTTCACCACAGATCAAAACCAATCAGATCACAAAATATCACATTGGACAACTGATTTATCCTAGTTTGTAAATTTATATCCCCATTCATGATTGCACACAGAATAGATAGCAACAAATAATCGGGATCCGACTAGACATAGTTTTCAATTTTACTTTAATTACATCATCAGTCAAATTAGGTTACTGAAAATCTTTCTCAAATATCCCGATAAATATGTGAACCTGATAGGAAACTTCAAATTTCAAATTCACATTGGTTAATCTAAATTAAAAGAGCAAACTGAAAATTTTCAAAAGCTTTAACTACTGTAGTTTTACATTAAATTACAAAATCCTGTAATGAATTCTGCAAACACTTTGATTTCAGACGTTGGGAATCAAATGCTAAAGATAGTTAACAATGCAGCTTACTAAGTCTTGTCTTTAAATATTAGAAAAACAACTACAATAAAATTTTATCTATACTCAAAATGACTTCATATATATACATTAATAGATTTGATGAATCAAAATTTTTAAAAAACTTATTATCAGTGTAAAATAATAGTTACCAATTTACTGTCAGTTTTTAGTATTTATATTAATCAAAACAATTTTATTGGCTTTAGCCCCATTTTATTTTTCCAAAATTTTGCTTATTGTCTTCTTTGAAGATAATTAATAATAGATGGCTTAAACAAGTTCATAATTGTTGCAATTCTCTCTTTTATTACAACCCAGCTATTCCTATTGCTTAGTATTCTTGGACACTAAATCACTCGACAAGTCCCCAAATCAGGGCACGGTTGAACAGTAAGAGAGATTATATTCCAAATAAGAAGGTTAGATGGAAGTAGAAGCACAATAGGGAAAACGTTAGTATATTTATAGTTTTTTCACATGAGATTTCTAGTGTTCACTAAGTATTGACTAACGCTGATTGAATAGGAATTAGCCAATCAGCGTGCGCCAACGCAAGCGTGCATTGAGCATGATTTAATCCAATCTATGTCCCGCTAACAATAATCAAACTCATTGTAACATATTTTTTCTTTCCTTACTGCTTCTAAGTTCATTTGATAACAGTTCATATCATGAAAACCTAACTTATAGGATAGTATACAAATTTTCACCATATAAACGAAATTTTACATAAAACAAAGTCAAAAGTGGAGAATTTACAATACTTAAGATAACTTCATATATACTGACATGGTTATAGGGGAGTTTCATCATTGAATCAGACTGTGCATGCCACAAACTAGTGTCTATAGATAATTTATGACAAGATTTTGAAAATAAAGTTCACGAAATTTGTCACAGTGATGTACAATCTAATAAACACACCAGTTTAAACGGACAGATTGTAGAGATTCTTCTTAATGATAAGTGGTTAGAACTAGTCGTCAGGATGCCGTGCACAGAATTTTTGTACCAATTGACACACGTCAATAAGTAATTTTTGAAATTTAGAAATGACGCTGTTGATATGGATTCGGACCTAAGCATGTGCAGAAATTTCTGATTTTTCTAAATATTTCTTTACTTGATACTAATCTTTGGCAAAAGCCATCTACAAAAGCGTTAACATAGGAAATCAGTGCCCTTAATCCAATTCTACTCGGATGTTCTACGAACATGAAAATGGAAAAAACTCGCTCGCTGTTGAAAGACGTTCTTTATTTGATATTTCTTGACCAGTTTTGTTTTCGCTTAATTGCCTTATTGAAATATGTTACTGTAACAATAAAGAAAGGTCACAACCCCACTGAGCAATTGATTCTTATTTTGCAAAAGGTTACTTGTGGTATAAAACATGTAAGAACATGTTGATGTAGAAAATAATGTGTATCGTTTTAACGGGATAAAATAAAAAACCTATAGAGAAGTTAACCGGACTAAATGAGACTTAGTAATAATAATGGCATTACTATATGGGTCTATTACAATACAGTAAAAAATCTTTCGGTACAAAATATTTTAGCAAACTCCTCTTAATCTACAATGCGGATATATATGTTGAAAAATTCTAAAGTAATAAAGTTTCCTTCATCTTTATCTATTATTCTCTGCCCTATATCTCAACCATATTGCTTATGTCAGTGGACACATCAACGTTTAGTAGCGTTCACAATCATTCATGAGTAGTTGGGCACATATGGTTTTTCAAAGAATGAACTATTCTAGGTTAGTCCTTTGACATTACGACAATGATGCACAATAATGGTATCCGACAAAGGAGTCATTCCAACTCAGAGCCCGTTTCAAGATATTCTTGTCGCTTCATTAATAAGGTTCTGCTTACAAAAGTCTTCTCGCGCACCAAATACTGATGGATTATAAAACAGAGCTTTTTATTTGTTATTGATTAAAAACCATCAAATAAATTCGTGCCTACTATTTTCCTTGTCTGACGATGGTCATATTAATATACAGAATTAGTTCATCAAGCTACTGATAGTTAGCCTCAGAAGTGCTAGAGACTCCAGGCTTTCTTGATGGGATCCACAAGATAACTGTATTTGGTAGTTGAATACCAGATAAAATAGAATAAAATTGATTAAAGGAATGGTGACAAATTTACTTGGCGTTATTACTTCTATATACCATTATTGCTCAGGTAAAAAGCAAATACGTAATGTTATCACTACTGACGCAACCTTATAGTTTTATGTGAATACTTGAGTTTCTCGTGAGTCTTTAATACGAGAGAATGTCGAAGCAATAAAATTACCCCTAATTTAATAAAACCATGAACCAATTTCTTCATTGTGCTGTCATTTTTAGTATTAAGGAGTAAAAACAGTATGCAACAATACTAAAGTATTATGTGTAACCCAAATAACATGCAACATAACTAAGCTACTACACATGATTGACTTCCATCATCAGAAAACTTTGAATAAAGACAGCGGGTTGATAAGTAATTTTCAGTGGCTAGACCTACATTTATGATCTTCAAAGAAACCTTAATAACTGGTAAACTAAGTTTTTATGAGAACCAACGATTTCCGATCGGTTCAGTGGAAAAAAGCAGTATACAATACAGGTACAGGCAAAAATAGCTGACTGAAATTATATAACACACCATCTAACGATCTTTTTCTTAACTTCTACGAGTCAATCATCTTTTCTTACATAAATAAGTGCGGCACTGTGATAGTTGGGATGATTTTAGTAAAAATATTTAAGATCTTTTTATAGAGATCACCACGTTTCACGAAATCTAGCTTTCAATTACCTCATATGTTGCAAAGAAATTCATAAGAAAAATCAAGATTATTATTTATTTTATAGTCTCCTCCACAAATATTACAAGTAGATCTTTCAGAGGGAGAACTTGTGAATCAAACACAGCTTAAAGTGTACAACATCGAGGTAGCTATTCTATTGTCAGGGATGAATAACTTGATGTAAAGCTAAAACGATACACGAGATTTTGTGAAAGTGAGAGATGGAAGAAACTTGATTAAAAATGATGAAAGAATAGTATTTGAACTAAATGAAATGAAGTTACTGTTGTGAGTAAAATCACTTAAAATTCGTTCACTCAGATTTCATACGCACGAAAGAGCTTCACAATATTAAGAAGCTTATCAGAATTATTTTCGTTTATAAAACGCCCGTCTAAAAAGAAAAGTTGACAAGTGTATCACAATGACAAACCGGAATCTGAAGTACTATCCAACATCCGAGGGGTTTTATTAGCATTGGAATACCAGTGCATACACTAAACATTACGAAAATGGATATATATACCTCTTCAAAATTTTTCTGTAAACCAAGATATTGTTCAAAAGAAACAGATATATTGCTGAACAACCAGGTATCATACATGCTACGGAGGTTTGAGTTAGTCAAAACTTCTTTAGCTTTCTGGATTTTCTGAAAAAGTGAAGCTATAGTGGAATTTAAAACTGGCTGAAGAGCTACCTGAGTTTGGTTCCGAATTTTTATCTGGATGGAGCTCTCTAGCTTTTATGCGATATTCATAAAGGATCTGATCTTCCTACTGAACGTTAAGTAAGCAACTGCAGCAAACCGTTGAATCTTTGCTAACACCCAGCAACTCATAAAAATTGTCCTTTGCGAGGTTCGGCTTACTAAGTAGAGTATTCATTTCAAAGCACTGAAGAATAAAAAATTTCTCTAAGGCGAAGCAAACTTGAATTTTCTTCGGGATCTATATATGACCAACAAAAACTTAACAAAACAAAATATGCAACTTCAAACCTCTTATGAACTTGTATCTGAGGTACGAACTACAAGTATCATTGGGACTCACTTCGCGAACCTAGGTAGTTTACTTTGTTATTCATAGGTCGCGGTATTGTGCTTAATCTCCTAACTTTAGGAAAGTTTTTGAGTCCTGCTCAAAATTAAAGGTTTTTTTCAAAAATGAGAGAGCAGGACAATTATGGATTGAAATTTTCAAAGCTTTATATATCTTCACATTGATCCAGGTATTTATTTTAAAAGAACATCAGTAGTCTGCATACTCAATGTGGCGATGAAAAATCCTTTGATTCTGGGTAATTAGAGATGTACTTCATGGTTTCAAATAAGTATATATTCACACTCGTAAAGCAGAACTTTACAATAGTATAACATTCCAAGTCTTCACAACAAAAGGCGCAGATAAACATGTGTGATAAGAAATAATGATATAACTCGTATTACTGCGTGGAAAATACATATAGTTAGCATTAGGTAAATATGTACTTCTTAATCTCCGGATTTTGGGATTGACATATTGGCGCTTAAGTATATCAGTAACAAAGATACAAAGCAGGAGAAATAATGTGAAAAAGTTTCAAATATAAATTATGGAGCTACGTGACATGGCAGTTCTTCTATCAACACACTGAGATAATTTCATAGGGAATTCAAACGTACCCTCAGGATCACCGCAAGAATTCAAATTAGTTCCCACTACAAATAATGATACCCAAAGGTCAAGTAGCTGTCATCCTATTGGTGTATTGGAAAAATGCACAAACCAATTTAAGCAGACGAACTCGATTCATACAGGTCTAATTGGATTTATTTCGCTTACTATTCAGTAGACATTATGTAGCATTTTTATGAATTAATTGAAGCTTAGTGGTAGAGGAAGGCTCAACGACACACATTTACTCTCATTATTTGTACCAGTATAACGTTCTAGTGAGGAATCCCGTCATTTCACGTCTCCAAGAAATAAACATAACTTCGGACATAAAGGAGTCGGTCGTGGATTTGTGAAACTTTTTAGTGTTCTTCCGGATTACAATTCACCATACAATAAGTGGTGTTAGATTATTTTAAAAAACTGCTATAACATAAGATATATAAGTTGATAAACCTTAGCCTCTCAACAGAATTAGTCAGTTGCGTTTACCACTCGAATCTCTGACTGACGAACTCGTACTAGCACAGCTGCATTGTGACTCAAATTATTTGTTTCAAATGCATTTTGAAATTATTGTACTTGCTTCTCTGAAGTGTCCCCAAGGTCCGATATTGTTAGTAACCACTTCACTTGCGGTTCGCTTATGAGGAGTGACAGGATACTACAGGATTTGACAGTAAATATGTTGGGGATATGCAATTTCTATAGCACTACAGCCCGAATCCAATACTTTTACATGGATCTCTAGAACCACTCAAACCAATGGATCGGAAAACATATTTGGGTAATGGTGTATGTGTAGGGGTGAATTCAATTTAGGCTAAATAGTTATTATAAGAGATGAACAGGATGAAGAACCCGAGTGACCTAACGTCTCCAGCTAGAGTATGTCGGTTAAGTCTAATGCGTTCGTCAATGTTGAGGAGTTACAAGATTGTCTATTATGGGGGTTAATTAACTAACAAAACAAATGATCTCAAAACAGCCAAGACCAAATATCGATGATGACTGAGTGGGAGAAAATATATAAAGAATAGGTGAAGGTATCGTTGCGTATAATTTTTAAGCCGACTAGTTATCGGACGAAAAGATTTTCACGGTGAACTGAAATGTGGTATGGTGCGAATGTTTCGGTGGGTGCTCTGAGCTAGTGATGTGTCCAGCATAAAAGTATGGTCACCGTTGTAGTAGTAAGTAAATTCACAAAATTGTCTGTTCAATTCGAAGAACGTGGCCAAATCGTTCGCTTTGGATCATGCTACTCTCAACCTGTGAATGTAACCAGTGGGGTTATACAAAGAGGTATGATTGGTCCATTACTCTTTCTCCTTTTTATCAATGACATGTGTTTCCTCTTTCAGTATGGTAAACCTTTCCTTTTTGCCAATGACCTGAAAGTAGTTAATTCATTCTAATCTCCCACCAAAGAAAGCTATATTTCAGCGGTAACCGAAGAAGAAATAAATAAGTTATACGAATGGACTGTTTCGTGGAATTTGCCACTTAATGCTGACAAAAGTGGATTTATTCACAGTGCCCGCTGCCTAGACCTAAATCTGACTATACACGAACATACACTGAAACCTCTCAACACTGTTCGTGACTTGGGTTTAAGATATAGTAACAGTTTGATTTTTTCTGAGCACATTATATCTCAAGTATCCAAAGCTAGAAAGCTGATCGGATTGATAATGATAAACTTTAATAATATCGAATCGAGATTGTTATTATACAGAAAATGTATCTTACCCATTCTTGAATATGGTATCTTAGTCTACAGTAATTGCAGGCATAATGACCTGATTAAAAGTGAAGGTGTTCAAAGAAAGTTCATCAAAGCTGTTCTGGGGTATTCCGACAACAAAGACTATCACCAAAGATGTCAGTAACTCAAATTAGAACCTTTCTGGATCAGACGTAGCAAATTAAACCTTGTCTTGATCTACCGGCTTATTAACGGTATTTCCTACTCTTCGGTATCCACCCCTTCATACTCTGTGATATCATTCCACAATCTACGCAGCAAGGAAAATATTCTAGCGATTTCAAGAACCTACACAAACTTACGCCATAATTTTTTCGTTATTCGCTACTCAACCATGTGGAACAGACTGCCAGTGGACCTCCGTTGCAGTGAAACTACAACCTGGTTCAGAAGTCTCCTTGATGATTTTCTATCCGAAAGTGGATTGTGTCACCTACTGAATATTAATGTATTTAGTAATGATTTATACAAACAAGGTCCGCCATCCATCTAATTGACTGAAAAGCAGAATGTAACCTTTGAAACTTTTCACGTTTATTTTATTTTATTTCTATTCATCCTAATATGTGAAGTCTGCTTATGTTCGTATCCATAATTAATGCTGTTATTAATATCATTATTGGTCCCCCGACACATTAGATATTCTTTTTATCTCTTCTTATCCCTCTAAACATATTCACTTTCTGGTTGTCCCTTGAAACTAATTATGACTTTCATAGCATCATTCTTAATTGCGATTGCTTAAATGTTCATGCTAATATCCGGTTTCGCTCTGTATACTATTACATAAATCTACATGTATTTATCCGAGTGCACTAAAGGATTTATTTTATTTTTCTAAACTGTTGGTTTAATTCAGAGGTCGATATTCATTACTCAATTATTATTATCATGATTGAACCCTGTCACTAGGTGTCCACTTCTTTTCTCTCTCTTTTTCCCTTCTAAATAAATATTATTCTTAAGATTACGAAGTTTGCAAGTAAGACAATAACTTACGTTACATTTAAATTGACTTCTCAGATGCGTTTCATCTTCACTACGTATATATGACTCATACATATTGATATTTCGTTACGCTTTTCACATAATTGAAACTTTCATAGCATCACTCCAAACTATAACTGCACAAACACTTATTCCAGCGTCATATCTTACTGCAATAATAAGTTATTTTTCCTCAATTATTTTCTATTTTATTTTTGTTACTAATTCGACGATACATATATAGTCGTTTATTCCTTTACTGTGTTCATAAACACGCCTATTTAACTATTTGAGTATTTCACATCTCCTATATTTATATTCCTTTATTTTCTTTCTTTCCTTCTTTAAACTCAATTCAATATTCTTCTCAATTACTCAGAACCTGATTTATTATTATTTTACTATTATTACTCTTTTTTTCAAATATGGCAAATATAATGCTAACATCATTGAAACTTGTGTATTATTGCATTTTTGAAGAAACTCGAAATGGTTTCTTCACAACACTTATGCACCCATAAAATGTTTGTGGATAGTAATAATATTGAAGCTGATAAAGTTCAAAGCTTAATTGTTCGTTCTGTTTAGGATACATCGTTAGGTTCCCAGGTAATAAGCGTCATACTCACTATTTGCAGTTCTTTTAGTATTTTGCTGGCGGAGGGTACTGAAACGCACTTCTCGCTTTATTTGAGACTCTAGTTAATAATAATATATTTCTGCAATGGCAGGTACACGCCATTTTTACGGGCTTTTTTCTACTAATTCTGTTCACAGTCATGTTTCAGGTAAGTAAGTTTTACCTGAAACGCGGCCGCACTACTTAATCCATGTGGCTACTAACTCGTGTGAAAATATTAGTGAGTACCCGTAGTTTTCCCTCAGTAATATCCAAAACAAAATTTTGACAGAGCTGTCCCCACAAATACATTTTCGTTGGACATTTTACGTTTAGCCTCTACTCATTGTTTTTAATTCTAAAGTTCATACCTGGTAATTCCAAATGTTTAAAAACTACGTTAACTACAGCATTCGATCGAATCAACAAATCGTTAACAGATCTATCTCAGGAAAAGAGACGTTTGTATACATTTTAAGGTACCAATCAACGTAATTCGTTTCATAATTCAATCCAGTAATTAAGGATATTTGAAAAACCTATATAAATGGTAACTCGTCAAAATATTACTGCTGACTAGCTAGCTTGATCCCTTGTTGTTTTATGCACTGAAGAGTTTAAACTTCTCAAAATCAAAGACATCATATAATAATACCCACCAGCCACGAACAAGACATCGCTCCGACGATATAAATCTTAGGTTCGAACAAAATAATGTATTCATTATAATGAGACATAAAAATGGCAAATTCTAAAGTGAATAGGTTTGAGGGGGCGTAAAATAACTTCTACAATCCGCTTTACTATGACATATTGGTTGTGGTTTTCAGTACTAAAATACGCATAGGAGGGATTGTAGTGGTATCAGTTCTCAACTCCACAATTCTTGAAGCTGAACACACGATAATTGAGAAGATTCACATTCAACATCTAACACTTAAAGAAGATCAGGAGGACTTGACTCGGGAACACTTGATCGGCATGACATGCCTCAGAAGTGCAGGCGTGCCCACCCAATGAAACGTTCCTTTTCACATTAAAATATATTATTATATTCACAACCCAAAGCTATTCTTCAAAAAAGCTGAACAACTGATTGCTATTTGTAGAGATAGTACGTATCAGTATGGAAAATGATATGATTTCCAAGTGGGATCTTCTGGATTCGGTAGTCAAATCTTGACAAATCTGCAGTTTTCGGATCATGTTTGTTATTCCAGTAACAAGGATAGATCCATTTAGTACCGACCTGGACAATAAGCTTACAGGATCAACCCCACTAGGGGGTAGGGGTGTAGCGGTAAATAAATCCCCAAAATAAATAGCACTAAGTTTTCGACATTGGAGGCTGACCATATGTTTTAGTGGACTCACCTAGCTGAAGGCGCTCGGTCATGCATCCGCACCAGATCACGTGTGGTAACGCCGTGCTCAACATCAACCGCAATCGCTAGCCAGATTAGATCAGAGAATTCCGATATATTGGTAATCGCCAAATATACTCTTCCGATCTCCTCGACTCTGTCTTTTGATTTCTCTGGGCGGGAACGAAATATATTAGGTGTTACTGGTAGAAGCGTTGTCAAACACTGAATACCTGTGACATCATCATTGGTGAAACCGACGTGATCTGGTACACCTAATTGCAACTGTGAGTCTG